ATTAATACCATAAACTCACCTGAACTTACCTGGGTGTCCTGAGTTCACCTTTGCACTTGAAAGCATTCCCAATAATTATAAGCAAGTAATATACATATGGATATATCATGATGCAATCTACTACTCAACCATGTCGTAGCATTTTCAATTATAAACAATATGGTGTGAAGTGTACAATCAATAACGCCATACTCCCAAACTACTTATTTTCAGGGATACTTATCCATAACAATCCAATTAACTCTAATTTAACTAACTAATTCACAAAACTAAAACTTGTCTTTACCAATTTCCTTCGCATTACTCAATTTCCCAAGCAAGGCTTTTGTCTCAAATATTTTATGGCTGCATCTAACGTCTCGTTAGACTGCCTACGTACCCTAAACAGGGATCAAGCCATTCGTAGTTCACATTGTACGTCAAGCATTCACAATAATTATATATGAAAGTAATATGCCTAATCAATTTAAAGGTGTCGATAGAACTCTCAATAATATGCACAATAAAAAGGAAAAGATCCACTCACCTGGAGTCCACGCTATACTACTCTAGCACGCGCATCGAGGCGTCCTGAATGATCGGTCCCTGTGGCCAATTATCAAATCACATCTCAGAACTCTTATCTGAAGAATATGCAATTCACATAAAACACAACCTCGACGACTTTCTAAAATAGGTTGAGACCTATTGACCACAAGTCAACCGTCGATCAAAGATCGACGGTAGGGTTTACAACCCTGTATAACCTGACCCGGAAGATCCGCATATCAGATTTCCAATCTGCAACTTCCAATGATCCACAATATGTTTCTAGAATAACATCTTAAAATTTCATTACGATCCAACGGTCAGATCTTCGCCAATTGCCTAAAACAAGTGGCCGTGAACATTTATTTTACTAACTTACAAATCCAATTCAGGAAGATCCGTAAGTCGGATTCCCGATCCGTAAATTCCTATGATCTTTAAATATTACGTATTATAATGTATCCAATTTTGGTGACGATCCAACGGTCGGATCATCGATTCACATTTTTATCAAGTAGCGTTTTATAACGAATTTAGGTTCCAACGATCAACCTACGTCATTCAAATGACAAAACTGAATTCAAAACATTCGACATAGCCTAAAAATAGCATTGGCGGCTCACCGGCCACGCGCCGCCGCACGCGCCGCCGCGGGTGGCGGTCGGCCGCCCCGACTCGCCGGAAAATCCAACTAATTCCAAAAATTATCAAACTTCACAGAAATGAAGATCTCAGTGAGTGGAGCAACTTTCATACCTGCCACGAAGTCCAAAAGTGGACGGAAGATGGTCAATTTTGCCCACGAAGCCGGCGGGTGCCTAAAACTTCCCGACGTCGATTCGTCGTCTACGGTGGTCCAACGGGGTCAAGGTTGGTTGGGTTTTGCTCCTGGGATGATGGGCTACAAAGCCCAAGTGGTGGCATCGGCCATCGCTTTGCCGATTTGCCGGAAAATGGAGAAGGGTGGCCGGAGCACCATTGATTTTCGTCAACTTTCGTGGCCTCAAACCTCCACATCCCGTGGTCAATCAAGGTGGTTCTTGGGTGAGTTTTGTAGAGGGGAATGAGAGCTTCAAAATGGTGGTGGTGGCATCGAAAAACTCCACCGGAGTTGGCCGGAATCGGCCTTGGAATATGGCCTCGCGGTGGTGCGGGTATGGGTGCACGGGAAGCCTTTTTCCCTTTTTTTTTTTTTTTTTTTTTTTCTTTTCTTCTTTCTTTCTGATTGGGCTTCCATTAATTTAAATAAACACTCACCTTGAATAACCAATTTCGAACGTCCGTAACTATACCGTTATAATTCGGACTCGCAAACGGTTTTCGCCTATACGTTCGTACCAATGAGTACTACGAGGATATGCTAAAAGAATAAGTCCCACATCTCTCAAGTCAATGGTCAACAGAAGTCAAAGTCCGTGCCTCTAGGGCAATTTCGTAAACTCACGCTTTTAAAATAAATTAAAAATGTAAAATTTGGAACGGGTTGTCACAGTTTTAATAAAAAAAAAACCATGTTATAAGTTTTATTTAATGATTAGTACATGGCCCATATTAAAGTAGTCCAACTAAAAATGGTCCAACTATAATAAATTATGATTTGTCGATTTTACCCCTAACTTTTTTAGGTTGAGTTCCAGATTTTCGTCATTATTGGAGTTTATCGTTGTTTTGCAGACTTTCTTCTTTTTCTTTGAAACAAAAAAATAGATCCTCATGCTATTTAATTTATATTTTGTACTATTTCGTTGAAATGTGATCGTCGTTATTATTCTTAGTGTATTCGAGGTACTGTTTTTTAATTTTTCATCGTTTGTTTCTCCAGAAAATAAATTTGAGATTTGCATGCTATTCAATAATAACAACGGGTCATTATTTCTAGACTATAAAAATAAACTGTTTCTGGATTTTAAGTAACACTGTTTATGGAATCTAAGTCACTGTTTCTAGAATCTAAGTTACTATTTCTGGAATCTAAGTCACTGTTTCTGGATCGAAATGAAATAGACATGTTGTTTCTTAAATGTAAGCTAGAAAAGAAATAGTGCAATTCACTGTATTTGGATTCAAAGCAAAATAAAGACCATGTTTCTTAAATATAATCAACTGGTGCATGAAAGAAAAGAAACAGTCAAAAGTTAAAACATAGATTGTTTCTGGAACTAAGTCACTGTTTCCGAAACTAAGTCACTGTTTCCGGAATTTAAGTCACTGTTTCTGGATTTTGGTTCTTTTCTTTCCAGATACAGTGTTTGTTTGTGCATAGACAAAACAAACATTGTATTGTATTTGATTTTTTTTTTTTTTTTTCCAAAAACAGTGTTATGTTTTGGGTTATCCAGAAACAGTTTTATGTTTTAGTTCTTTTTTTTTCTTTTTTTTTTTCCAGACACTTTTTTGCTGGTTTCTACCATTAAACTTTTTTGAACTTGTTTCGGCGGCTTTGTTCCGATGAATGCTTCATTTTTCAAATTTGATTTGAACTTTGATTTGGTTGTTTTTGAAAGGGGGGAATTCTATTTGATAGGAAGACAGGGAGTTATTATGGGGATTTCGTGCTGGGTTGAGGTTGGTGAAGAGTCAAAACAATATCAAATCATTTAGGGGTATTTACAGAACTATAGATTTGTAGTGAGTTGGGCTTGTAAGTTTGACCCGTGGATAATAGTTTTGGATGATTTTTTTATTAAACTTTGAGCCCTTCTGGTTAAATAACATTTTGTGATTGTTTTTGGTTAAATATTTGTTGGACCAAACCCTTTTCATTAAAGCTCCCTAAAAATAATGATGTACTTAACAAGAAAAACCCATGAAGGGTATTCTTATATTTTAAATTAGTTGTTCAAGGGTGTTTACGACATTTAATGTATCTCAGCGAATGGGTGCATTGGTATTTCAGTTAGTCATGTAAGAATTGTAGAACACTTAGTGTGCGTTTGTTGCATCAGACTATCTCGGACTGGACTAGCTTTTAGAACTAAACTAGACTGCCTTAGAATAGACTAAGCTAGACTAACTTAATGAAGCGTATAATGCAGGTGTCGGACTAAGAAGCAGGATAATTAATAAATTCTAATATTATATTAATTTATCTATATCTCTATTAATAGTTTATTCTTAATTCTTTGATTTTTTTTCCTCTTTTTTTTCTTTTTTTTTGTTCTTCTAAAGACTCTTCCTCTTCTTCGAAACCCAATCGCACACTTTGAGATCAAATCAAAACCAACTTCCTACAATTGCATATCAAATCAAAACCAACTCCCCGTAATTACAGATCAAATCAAAATCAACTCTCGACAATTTAAAATTCCACAATTTGAGATTAAATCAAAACCAATTCCACAATTTGGCGTCTCAGGTTGCTTACCCCATCTTTATAGCCGGCAATCCCAAGCTGCTATCGTCCCAATCCAAGACCTTTGCTATTTTCGTCGCCATCGCAAGCGCCGACGTTTTGGCCTCCAATATTCCTTCATCATCGTCATGTTCCTCACCCACCACTGGGTTCACAAGGATTTCAGGATTTGAGTTTCAACGGCTGTTGTGTTCCTCACCCACCACTGGGTTCAAAAAGATCCCATGATTCGGGTTAGAATGGAGACCATCGGCAGTGATCTGTGCCCACTGACAGTTGGAGGTGGTGCAGTTATATAGGTCTTGTTGGAGGAGGAAGAGATAGAAGAGAGCAGAGAAGGAAGACGATCTTAGCTAGTCCCCTCCTTTTCGAGGGCTCTCGCTAAGAACTTCTAGCGAGCCTGTTAGTCCACACGAGTCCCCTTTAGTTTCATTAAACATAATCTCAGTATCTAACAAACACTGGACAGTTTAATCCGGTGAGAGTTAAGGAAGCCAAACAAACGCAACCTTACTAGACTAGCGCCATTTTGTGTCTTTTCCCAAAAATCAATTAGAAGCCCAAGTGGTAAGATGTTCATTTTCATTCCAAGGCTTGCGAGTGCTGCTACTTAGTAGTTGTTGATCAATTTTTATTCCAAAGGTGAATAAATAGAAAATATTTTTACTCATCATCTTATATCGTTGTTTTATTTTAAATTATAAAATTTGTGATCATAGAAGATTAAGTCAAACTCATTTAATAGTTTAGGGGTTGGTTTGTAAACTTTTAATATGATCGAAAACGTTTTTAGATAAAATATTTTTGATTTCTAAAAAATCACTTAAAGTGCTTTTTTATGTGCTTCTTGCATGAAATAATAAAGTAATTTTTCAGATTTTACTTACTATTTATTAAAGATTGATTTATAAAATAATTTCATGATAAGCAGTTTTAACTATTTTAAAAGTACCTGCAACCCTTTATTTAAGAGGCAATGCGTATTACCGTTAAGTAACGATAGTGAAAAATAATGCAGCCAAATGAATATTTGTCGTATCGATCTAAGTTATAAATCCCAAATTCATACACATGACGGAATGTCGGCAAGAAAATGGTAAATTTTATTTTTGATGATATTCCACAAGACAACAACGTACAAACTACACTCAACCAATAACCAAAAAGTCGTTTTAAAATATAGTTTTGATATTTCTCCTGAAACTCCAAATTTTCTCTCTCAATCTTCCTCCCGTTTCTCGGCATCCAAACGGCGGAATAACTTTGTGCCAGGGTTCGTTTTGATCGGCGAGCGGGATGATCAGGTTGTGCTAATTTCCGAACTCAATTGAGCAGATTAGGGTTTACGAGTGACTCAATATACAATGCGGTTGTTTCCTTTGAGCTTAAGCCCAAGCTCGACCGCCAGAGCAGACAAGGAGCTCACTGATCGGAAAAAAAATCGCGCCCATTTGTACCTCAATGTCTACGATCTCACGCCTGTGAACAACTACCTTTACTGGGTTGGATTCGGGATCTTCCACTCCGGCATAGAAGGTTTGGGATTTTTGTGCCTCTTTCGGGTTTTTGAGTGATGCAAGTTTGAATTTTGAGTGTTTTATGTTTATTTAGGTGTTATTGATGTTTAATTGTGGTTAATTTGGGTTTATTGTGATGCATTTTATGAATTTTGAGGAATTTCTACAGTGTATTGTGTTGTTAGACTTTGCTGGTGTTTTGTAAGAAAAGAGTGACTGAAATGGTAACTAGAAGAGAGTGCTTGCGTCCGAAAGCATGCTGCTTAATTTATTATTGACAAGATGCAAACAATTATATCGTTTCTACTGAAGATTTCAGATAATCATGGGATGAAATGAAACCTAAAACAGCTTGTGAACATTGATTTGCCTCTCTAAGAAATCTTTTTTTGTCTCAAATGAAAACTGCGTTTATACGTTTATATGCATAATGAGATGCAGGTTTAGGTAAAGATTAGTACTTTAGAGTATTAATGGAACTTTATCGAAACAATATTTGATATTTGCATCCGTACCTGAGGAAGATGAAATTTCAGTTCTTCTTCTCGTAAGTGTTAAGTAAGAAGAAAAAAAGTACCATTTTGTTACACAAGTCCACAAATCAGCTGATTAAGAAAGTAGGATTATTTAATGAGAGAATTGTAAGTTTTATATGTTCCTTACTAGAATATATGTAGTCTGCAATGGTGGTTGTCGAATAAAAGCGTCAAATCATAAAAGGGTTTTGTAGCTAATGTAAACATCAAATATGCAGATAGGTAACATCCTATAGATTACAATATAGTATGAAATGGAGCAATCAGGATTGAGGTATGTAAACTCACCTGGTGGCAGCCATGATGAATAGAGCCTTTGGGATAGTCTCCTCCTCTCTGCATTTCTGCATGTTCAAGGCTTCAAGCTATACAATAGGGCAAGGTCTGTATTGAACATGTAGTTATGAGATTAGGGACCGAACCTATATTAATACAGTCCAAATCCACCACCCCTATTAGAGAGAGAGTTAATATTACTATGCCATATCTAACTAAAAGTCCAACTCAATGAGGGATGCCAGAAATAATCATTCACATAAAGATCTATTACGCTAAATACATTGCAGCCTACGATACATGTGTGGCCAAACAATACTCAAAATATTCTAACTGATATATTATACATAACTTTTAATTTGTGTGAATCATCAACCCACATAAGGGGTTATTGCAGCTATATCATTGCAGAACATATAATAATTATCTGTTGAATTTAGGTATAATGTTTCTTGAACCACGAGTAGCTAAATGTCAGAAAGCTGGAATGGAAATCTTAGAAAAGTACATTACTTCTTGGATTTGTAGAATCATTTACTTATTATTGTTGATGATTTGCTCATAGTTTTTCTTTATTTTGCACTGAGGTGTTTGACGGCATCCCACTGGCAGTCGTTATACAAAATTGTAGTTGGAAAACATGACAAAGTTCTACCTATTTTCGTTTACAGTTCATGGCTTGGAGTATGGCTTTGGAGCCCATGAGTACCCCAGCAGTGGGGTTTTTGAGGTAGAACCAAGAAGTTGTCCTGGCTTCATCTTCAGAAAGTCAGTCCTGGTGGGCAGCACTGATATGTCTCGCTCAGAATTCCGGTCATTTATGGAGAACCTTTCTGGAAAGTATCATGGAGATACCTATCATTTAATTGCCAAGAATTGCAACCATTTCACTGATGAAGTTTGTATGCGGCTAACTGGAAAAACTATACCTGGATGGGTAAATCGGCTAGCCCGAGTAGGTGAGAGTAAGATACTCTACTTCAATACTCACAAGACCTACACGCTACTTGAATTACATTAGGTTTTCTAGACCTTGTAAATGAATGACATATCCTCGTTTCGGATTATAAATGCACAATTGTGTGATTATTATATGATTGACTTGGCTCTGTGTGCCCATAGATTCTGTACCCTCGGTGGGTCCACAAATGTTTAATGAGCTTTTCCTTTTTCTTAGTAAAGGTTTCTCTTAATTTTCAGGTTCTTTCTGCAACTGTCTTCTTCCAGAAAACATTCAAATTTCAGCAGTGAGACGTCTTCCTGACCACCCGACATATTCTGGTATGTTCCCATCCATTGGGAAAAAAATTGTTCTATAAAGAGTTTTGAATCACAATCTTGCATATTTTTCTGACTTCCTTTTCTGCAATAGAATTATACTTTCCTCTTCTAGTCTTATGGTACTCAAGCTTCTAATGTTTTAAAAGGCGAAGGCGTGAGTGAGGCGTTTGATGGATAGCCCCGTCTAGGCGAAAGCCTTGAAGCGTGAGGACTTAATTTTTATACTATATATTATATATATGTATATATTATAATACTTTTTAAAACAGATATTCATTGTCATTCAAAAGTGCACAAATTATATGCAAATATAACTCACATGACCTAGTTTAATCAAGCAATCAAATTAATCAATATTCAAGCATCTACTTAAGTAAATGCCTATACATACATATATATATATATATATATGTAGATTATAAGAAGAAAAAGAGAAATAAGGATAAATATAAAGACTTAAAGAAAAAATAATAAAAAGATGTTTTTTCTACCGGCCAATCATTAGCATATTTAGGAAACTAATAAAACCAAAAAAAAAAAGGTTATCTAATATGTATCTTTTATATGAGGAAATAAATATTAAAAGCAAAAAGTGAAGGTTGAGGAGTTGGCGGGTAAATGTCAATAAGTGAAGATAGTGGGGTAATAAATATTAACAAAGTGGAGCAGTTAAAGCTTTAAAGGCAAAAATAGAAAATTAAAAAACAAACTCAGCCTAAAAAACCCTAGCCGTCGTCTTCATCTCCTTCATCTCCTTCGCAGGTTTCTTGGTCTGCAACTCAAAAACAGCCCTGCAACTAAAAGAAATCCATATTTCTGCAACCTAAAAATGAAAAAGGGACGCCCAGTTGACGCCTCAGGCGCCTAGGCGCGCCCCGACGAGCCTAGGCAACAGAGGCGAAAATGGTGAAGCCCCACCTCCAAGGCCGCTAGGCGCGCCACCCCGAGGCGAGTTTTTTAACACACTTTACAGATATACATATAAAATAGGTACAAGGAAAAATAAACTGAAGCAGATATTCTTTTGCTCGTACTACTAAAAGGTTCATGAACATGTAATTTGTGTGCGACGTGGTGGGAGTTGAGGTGAGATGAGAGAGGGCTGGAGTGCATAGAAGGAGAGGCGGTTGGTTAAAAGAAGGGAGATCAGAGTAAAAATAGGAAACATTGAATTAAAGAGAGTTAGACATAATGCATATAAATAATTTTAGAGTTGTTGGGTATATATAAAACCAACAATAAAGAGTGTTAGACATAATGCTCCTTTCTGATCAACTTTTACAATTTTAAGTTTACTTATCTAACCCAATACCAAAAGTGCTCAACTAATCCACTACCATATATTGCTCATCAAAATTTCAAGCCACCAATTTCTCTCTAAACCAGAGTAATCTCCACCTTAAAGCTTAAAGTTTCTGATTGATTTGTGGCTTAAATTCTTGACATTTGGAATTCCCGAGAACTGAATTTATGAATATAATTAGTTTGTTTAGACTTAGGGTCTGCTTGTTTGTTTCTCTTTTGTTTCAAACTTTTTGGTGGTCTTATGTCCATTAGAACGAGTGAGATAATAAAAATATGATATCCGATATGTGTGGGTTTTCTTAATTCTGTGTTTGAACTTGTTCCGGCCGAGGTTGAACAAATGAAATATATTAAGTTGATTATAAATGGACAAGCATCAAATGTCTGAGCAACTGTGGACATCGATTGAGCATATGGAGATATGTCTGATTTCTGGTGTCCATGCATCATGTGGTCCTGGTTGGTTGAATGATGCTTGAACCTGGAACTAAAATGCATGATATAAAAAATAAATCATAAATTCACACTTCTTTCTCCAGAAGATTCCTCTCTTATCGCAAATTTCTTGTTAATTTGGCAATGTGGTAAGATTAAACTACGTTGAGAGTTTGTAAAAGAATTAAGAAAGTTGGAGAGATTATGTGTTTGAGAAAGGGTAAAGAACTCCTAGGGTATAGGTGGGTGGTGATATAGAGTGCGTTACTTTATTGTAAATAGGATCTAAGAAAGGCATGTTTTGGAGTTCAATAAAATCACCCAAAAGAATTTCTTTAAGACCCTCTGATTAAATAAAATGCAATTGACTTCTCCTCTAAATGCTTTTGACTTTTCCACAAAATGCTTTTGAATTTTTTTTCCAAAAGCCTTTTCAACATAGTTGAATATTATTTGGATGGCTGAAATTGGCATGCCTTCTGCTTGAAAAGAGCTTTAGTTGCAAGTTCAGCTTTTGGAGAACATAATTACATGATACCGTGAAGACCACCTATTAGTCATGAACAAGCCATGATAGAGTGGTACAAGCAACCCAAATTCCTCTTTGACCATATCATTCAGTTTTCTTTTACCATGCAACAAGGTTCTGGAGAAGATGGATTAACAAATGAAGCAAAGAACACAACATGGAGTTGTGGTGCAGATGTTAATAAAAGAAAATATCGAACAATAGTTTAGAGTAGTTCATCACACAAAACATTTCAACAGATGTTCTGTTTTTCTTCTCTGGATGGTGCTGGTACTAAGCTTACCAAATGAAATGGGGGTAAGATACAATCCTTAAATTGAATCCAGCTTGTTCATATGCTGGAGAAGTTTAGCGAAATGGAGAAGAGAGAGAGACAAAAGGGAAGCTTGTGCGCACAGATTTTTATCTGAGAGAGGGTAAGAGGGAAAGTTGATACGATACAATAGATTGCTTTTGTGTTCCCTACAAAGTAAAACAAAATGTGGTTTCAACCCATGAATGGTGCACCACCTTATGGTGTACAAATGTGTGTTTTTTCTGTTCCATAAACAGGACGTTTAGTTATAACACCAAATGTGTTTTTCATTGTTATCTTTTTCATACCATGACTTGTGACCATGGATTTGCCTTGCTCTTTGATTGCGTTTGCAAGAATATTGGAATAAAATAGAATCATTTATCTTTTTTCTTCTGGAAAGATACAGAATAGGTTGAATCATCACTCTGATTGATCGGCTCAACCTCCCCGGCATACTTGCCTTTGGTTAAGATATTTGTCGTGGATGTCTGATGGTATTTACCGGATCCTGCCATGCAGGTTTTCCTATCAATTCCTAGAATCTAGGTTTACAATTTGAATTAGTTCTTGTCCTTCGTGTAGCTTTAATTGTTTAGTGAAAAGATTTGAATTGTGTGTGTATACAGATGAGGATGTATGATGTATATGCTAGAGGTGGGGGATTTGGGAACTTGACATATGTTGTGATGTGTCTTGCATAAACTTTTTTCCCCTTTACTGTATACAGACGAGGATGGTGACGACGGATCAGAATCTATTGCATCATCTGGAACAGCAGCAAGTGAGGAGGGGCCAAATCATCTTCTCCTGAATGTACCGAGTGGTGATGTAGCTTTCGTGAAGGAAAAACCTCCAAGGTTATGAAGGGAACTATAATTTATTCGGCGCATTATTATTTGTGGTATCCTCGTGTCTCCGTTTGTACTTGTACGTAGTCTATGATTCTAAACGTATCACCAAGCCGTAGTATATGATCATTCAAGACCACGGATGATAGTTCCTGGTACGGTGATGATGCTTGAGAACTGCTGTGTGTCGTTGAAATGTATGTATCTGATTCAACTTATATCCGAACTGTAACATATGTTTGATACATAGTGATTAGTTATTAGATACACTGTTTATTTAAAAAGAATTCACAGTGACAGTGTCCGTTTGTCCCGTCGGGAACATCCTAAAAAAAAGTGTGTCCGCTTCTTCGTGTTGAAAATCCCTAAATCAGTTATATTGACTCGTGTGGCGCTAGTATGTAGCACGCTCATGCAACCAAACATGACATTAAAGTGGTTATATGATGACGTTGAGCTCGGAACTGGATCCATACGGCTCACCATATGTAGGGGGCATACAAACCTAACATTTGAATCATTTAATCTTAGCTCCTCGTCCAATGACATAGTGGTTTTGGCACGACTTTATTTGCTTTTATTTTTTTTTCTCTTAGTGTTAGCCCAATTGGTGGGAGGGAGCTTTGACACAATGGAAATGTTGCTCATTTGTGATTGAAAGGTCATGGGTTTGAGTTGTGAAAATAGCTTATTTGCCAAGCAAGCGTAAGGTTGCGTACGATAGACATTCTCTTGGACCGTAGCAAAGTGGAGAGCCTTATTGGCTTAGGGTTGCCCTTTTAGTTTAGCCTAGTTGGTCTACAATGTTATATAATTTCTTTTAGTTTTTAATTCTCAATGCTTGCATGAGAGCTGTTATTGGCATTTCATAAATGTAAAAACAAAATAGATGAATACGTGTGTGTCTGTTTATATTTACCAATCATTGTTTTTACTTTTCTTTTATACGCAAAATACTGGGGATGAGAGGTTACATCAAATGTAAGGGTGAGTGATCTTAACCAAATAAGTAATAAACTCCTTACGTCAGTCATTGTTTTGGAAGGAAAACAAAAATCACAATGGCCTACTTTTTGTTTTTGTTTTTTTTAACAAATGATATTATTTTGGGGGAGTGGGCTAATAAGTCTCACAAGGTGACGAAAATCAAACTTATAACCTCTCACTTATAATTGAAGAGGAATACCACTAGACCGTAATACTGAGTGGCCACACTAACCTAATAACTTAGAAATTTTTTATATATAAGAGTATGAAAAACATAAGCAAAAATGTATCGTGAAGTATGAGGTTGGATCACGGATAGTACAGGAGCCATGACACAAGCATGCATAACCAATTCCTTAGAGTTGGTTAAGCGTGCAAGAATATCAATCCTAATTCCAAGTTGGCTATAATTAAGCAATTAAAATATCAATCGATTTTGAGTTAGTCTGTTAGGCAAGAGAGAAGGAGATCATGGATACCATAGCAACAAGGTGGAGGCTTCTTGGTGGCGAAACTGATTGGGAGGGTCTACTTGACCCTCTCGACATTGATCTCCGTCGCTGTATCCTTCACTATGGCGAAAGAGTTGCCACCATTGGCGACTCCTTCATCAGCGATCCAAGATCGAAGAATTGTGGACTTCCCCGTTACACAAAGACACATTTGTTCTCTAAGGTGGGATTGGAGAATTCTAATCCATACAAGTACACTGTGAATAAATATATATATGCAGCAACAGAATTTTTACCCGGGAAATCGATCTGGTTAGGTTATGTGGCGGTAACAACGGATGAGGGAAAGGAGGTGTTAGGGAGGAGGGACATTTTGGTTACATGGAGAGGAACTGAACTGGATGCAGAGTGGGGTGTTGACTTACTGTTCGATTTAGTGTCAGCTTCTGATATTCTGGGAGACAAGTATGATCCTAAGGTGCACCATGGTTTTCATTCCTATTACAATTCTGCCGACCCTGAATCTCCATACAGTAAAACTAGTTGTAGAGCACAGGTAACTTTTTTTTATTTGTATTTTTGTATTTATGGGGTTATTAAGTCCATGGTTGCTCAACACATGTACTCTTTACCTGCTTATGCGTTCATAGCACAAGACTTTACTACTCATCACCGATATATCGTAGGATTCTATATCAATGGAGCACTTGTAATTTGATTTCTTATTTCTTTGGTTCTTGCATCTGTTAGCATGCAAGTTCATTGGAATAACTTTTAAATTTAAATTTCATGGCATGATAATTTATTGGATCAATACTTAGTTTCAACTTTTATTGCACATATACACACACATACGACATCTCTTGGTATGAAAATTGTAATTTGCACATCTAGAAACAAAATACGATAGGATAATGGATTGTAGACACCATCTAACGAACTACAAGCACTCGAGTACATGATGAAATTCTGTTTATAGAGGACATTATAACAATATGCAAGCCTCTTTCTCTTCATATGTACTGTCAAATCATCAATATTCGCAACTCTCGTTTAATACTATTGTTCTGCTTTGCTGTGATACGTTACTTTCGTATATATTACACAAATTTGTTTATATCAGTTGTTAGTTCATGTTTTATCATATTGTTTTTTGTTATATCGTTAGATAAAATTGTTATAGTGTCGACTGTTATACTGAGTTTACTGTTGTTACAACGCTTTTGTTATCGTTATATCGGTTCTTATTCTGATTGCATTCCAAAATTACTTTGTAGGTTTTAACTGCAATTAAAGAAGTGGTGGATCGATACAAGGATGAGGAAATCAGCATAACTGTTTGTGGCCACAGCATGGGCGGTGCATTTGCAATTTTAAATGCTACAGACATAGTTTGTAATGGGTACAACAAACCTACAGACCGTCCAGACAAAGCCTGTCTTGTTACATCCATTGTGTTTGCTAGCCCTCGTCTTGGAGATCAAGGTTTCCACAACGTATTCTCAAGTCTTCACAATCTTCACGTTTTGCGAGTCACAAATAGCTACGATATAGTCCCTTATTTACCACCGTTAGAAAAGTATGTTGATGTTGGAAAAGAGCTGAAAATTGACACTCTTAAGTCGCCCTATTTGAAGAATGCAAAAAAAGACGCGCACCGTTTGGAGATTTACTTACATGGAGTTGCAGGAACACAAGGGCGAAATGGTTTTCAATTGGTAATCAACCGTGATATTGCATTAGTAAACAAAAAGTTGGATGGTCTAAAGGATGAATATAATGTAATTGTTAATTGGTGGACTGAGAAGAACAAGTCTATGGTTCAAATGGATGATGGCTCTTGGGTGCTGTTGGATCATGAAAAGGATGATGTTTAAAGGGCCTACAATTTGAATAAATTTGATGTAAAGTATAGTTTGTCTTCCAGTGTTCGTCGTCTGGCATTTCGTGTATTCACTAATGTTCTACGTCAATTATAAAGCATTGTCGTACAATAATGCCTTATGCAGGGATCATGACACGTGTGCACGACGCGGCCTAATAATAAATAAATGTAACAATATATTAGCTAATTTTTTATAATGAATCTTAAACGAAATTGCACTAAAGTTAGGTCGTCATTCGTAAGTGGCACGTTGTGTGGCTCGATTACAGTGATAAGTAAGTAAGGGTTGCTATATCTCCATCAACACCCGGATACATTTTTAAGTAGGGCAAGGGGGCCGTAGAAACTTCTTTTTGGGCGACTCACTAAAAGTTGTTTGGAAGCATATGCTCACATCAACTTTATCTAGGACATGCAAAACAAGTATTTTGGCCTTACTAGACAGGGAAGGGTAAACATGTTAGGACAGGAGGGTAGGGTTCAAGAGAGTAGAATGTGTTTAGGAACATGGATTATAGGAATCTTAAAGGGAAATATATGGAAGTAGTAGAAGTTATGGTGAGAAGAAGGATTAGTATTATGTGCCTCCAAGAAACTAAGTGGGTTGGTCTTAAGGCAAAGGATCTCGAAAATTTAGGTCTGAAGCTTCGGTATTTGAGACAAACAGTACGAGGAATGGTTTGGCATCATCATAGACAAGATCCTAACATAAAATATTGTAGATGTTAAGAGGGTTGGGGATAGAATTATAGCAATTAAGATTGTGATAGGACAAGAACTTGTCAATGTGATTAGTGTGTATGCACCTTAAGCTGGATTGGATATGAGTTTGTAGGAGAAATTTTAGGAAGATCTTGGAGAATTGGTTCAAGGGATCTTTCAAATGGAGAAGTTATTTATAAGAGGAGATTTAATGGACATGTGGGCAAGGGGAGAGACAACTACAGAGGTATTCATGGTGGCCATGGTTTTGGGGAGAGAAATGAGGATGGGAAAGTCATCTTGGATTTTGCAATGGCATACGATGTCTTTTTAGCCAACACTTTCTTTAAGAAGAGAGAAGAGCATGTGAGCACTTGCAAGAGTGGGTCATCGAAAACACAAATAGCTTTCCTTTTAACAAGGAAGGAGGATCGCATAACTTGTAAGAATTGCAAAGTTATACCGGGAGAGAGCTTGGCTAACCAACATTGCTTGTTGGTGATGGATGTACATATAAAAAGAGATAAAATAAAGAACAAGACCTTGAAGTGTCCAAGGACTAAGGACTGGATGGTGGAATCTAAAAGGAGAAAAACAATTCTGTTTCGAAAAGAAGGTACTCACCCAATGTGTTTGAGATACAGAGGGGTATGCTAGCCAAATGTGGGATTCCATGGTTAGTTGTATCCAAAAAGTGGTAAAATGGGTATTAAGAGAGTCCAAGGGTTTCGCTCCACATCAAAAGGTTTGGTGGAAGGTGAAGGTACAGACAAAAGTTAAGGCTAAGAAGAAATGTTGTAAAGCCTTATACAAGGATATAACAAAGAAAAATGTGAAAGTATAAAATAACAAAGAATGAGGCGAAGAAAGTCGTGAGAGAAGTGAAGCTAGTAGCTTTTGACGATATGTATAAGCGATTTGATACCAAAGAAGGAGAGTTAGATATCTATAAACTAGCTAGAGCTAGGGAAAGGAAGATAAGAGACTTGAACCAAGTAAGGAGCATCAATAATGAGAATGGAAATGTCCTATTTACAGAGAACGGGATTAAAGATAGATAGAGAGGGTATTTTCATAATCTTTTCAATAAAGGACATGAAGGGAGTACTTCTTTGGAGAGTTGAGTAACTCAGAAGAGTGTAAAAATTACTCCATCTACCACCGAATCAAAAGGAAGAAGTGGTTATAGCTTTGAAAAAGATGAAGCATAGAAAAGCAGTGAGCCTATATGATATACCAATCGAAATGTGGAATGTCTTGGGAGAGGGTGTAGCATGACTTGCAAACCTTTTCAATAAGATTTTGAAAAAGAAGAAGATACCAAATGAGTGGCGAAAAAGCACTTATGTGCCTATCTACAAGAATAAGGGCGACGTGCAAAATTACATGAACTATAGGGGTATTAAGTTAATGAGTCATACAATGAAGCTTTGAGAGAAAGTAATTGAGCACAGATTGGGGCAAGAGACGGGTCTCAGACAATCAATTCTGGTTCATGCCTGGCCGCTCAACCATGGAAGCAATTCATCTCTTACGACGATCGATGGAAAGATAAAGAGATATGAAAAAGGATTTGTACATGGTCTTTATATATTTGAAAAAAGCGTATGATAGGTCCTCAAGAGATATTATTTGGAGGATTTTAGAGAAGAAAAGAGTATGAGGTATCATTTTTATTACTGTTTTTTATTCTAAGAATATTTGTTATAGTTATGAAAAGTAAATAATGGAATAAATATTAATTTAATTTGACATATCAGATGAAGAAGAAAACATTTAAAAAGATTAAAGTACCATATAAACTCTCAAATTTAGCAAGCGTCCCCTTATCAAAGTGGTAGAAATATGTTAAGGTCCTTACATGATGGCTAATCTAACGTAATCCAACAAAATCTATTTTTTGGGAAAAAAAAAAAAAAAAAAACTCTCAAATTTATAACATCTCGTTTTAAATCATTTAAAATATACTTTTCAAACGAGTCTTATTTATTTTTTTGTGGCTTTTCAAATTCGGCTTTACCTAGAGGCTTGAGCCAAAAGGAGAAGAAAAACTCCAACCCGCTCTTACCTCGTTTCCCCTAACCTTCAAAAACCCTTGGCATCCCTCTCCGACCAGGATTCTTGTGTGTGCCGGCCTATGAGAGTTGGAGCAGACAGAGGCCTGTCGCGTTGAAGGAAGTTTTGGGTAAGCCCTTCGCTACTGATATTTTCTTATTTGTTTTTCTTCAATTTTATGTTCAATTTTTGGTTTGGTGATTGGCAACATTTGAAGATTTCAGACTCAATTTATAGGAATTTAGAGGGACCCCTTTAGTTTTATGCATATATAATTGTTTTATTTTCTTTTACAGCTCTCTGTAATCTGTCAACTGTCTGGTTCTGTTAACCAACAGGACACCCATAAGAATTAGTTGCAGAAAATGCCTTACCAAGTTGTAGTTTTTGCACAATTTTTTAAGGGTCCGTTTGATTATTATTTCGGCCTGTTCGATAGCCATTTCGTTTTAGTTTTTAGTTTTCGTTGTGTCAAATGTTTGAGATAGAGGGAATGTATACGGAGGAACGAGGAGGAGGAGGGAGGAATATAAGAGAACGTAGGAAAAGGAAAACTAGAAACGAAAGTTTAATGAAATAGTTTTTAGTTTTCTTTGTGTACTCTTCAATGTACATTTGTTCTGCTTCCTTTCCATCACCCTTTCTCCAACTTTGCTCATCCCTCTTTTCTCCCGTATTCCTAACAAAAGAGTGAAAACTAAAAACTAGAAATGAAATGGTTATCAAATGACAAAAAACTAGAAAATCAAGCCTACTTGAAATTGTATTCAGTTTTTGGTTTTTGGTTTTCATATTGTGTACCTTTCTTCCACAGGACCACATCCTTCTCAACACCACCCATCCTCTATCCTTATTCGATCCTGCTTTATCGCTTGTATTTGCTCTTTATATCTAACCAAAAAGTGCAAACTAAAAACTTGATATGAAATAATTACTGGGTCCTTAGTTTAGAAAATGGTATGTGTAGGTCTTTGGCTTGATGCTGTTAATGATATGTATATTTACATAACTTTGTTTTCATGTTAATCGTTGTAGAAGAGCAACCAAGTATCATGGAACACAAACATAAGCTTTTCGCTACTGAAAGTTCTCAAGCTCAAGGAACTTGTCCCAACTATATAATAGATAGATTAAGTAATCTTCCAGATGAAGTGGCTCATCAAATTCTAGCATTCCTCAATTTTAAGGAACTCATTCGAGTGGGTAGCGTTTCCAAAAGATGCAGAGAGCTCTTTCTTTCTACCCCTTCATTGGTAATTTGTTCACCAGACTCAGGAAACAAGCAGAAGCATTTGAACTTACTGAACTCTTTTGATAGATTCTTGCTTCATCGTGGGGATAATAAGATACAACGCCTTTCTGTTAGTTGGTGTATCAGTTCAGGCCTCGCCAACAAGATTTTTCGTATGATCAGGTGGATCCATATTGCGGCAAAGTGTAATGTCGAAGAGCTTGATTTTGCATTGAATGGCAAGCATACACCTGGACATTAGAACTCCCAGCTTGCATCTTTCTTTGTGGATCTTTGAGGTCACTATTGGTGTATGTGGATACAATTCTTAAAGCGCCCTCATTTACTTGCTCAAGTAATCTCCAATGCTTAACGTTAAAAAGTGTTACGATGGATGAAGGGTTTTGCAAATGGATCTCAAGTTCCTGCAAATGCATTAAGAAATTGCAGCTTAGTTATGTTTCAATAGAAAATATCACCATTGAAAGCTCATCTTTGGAATCATTTAGTTTGGTGGGTTCCTCTTTACGTGGCATTCGCTTATGCCATCTTAACATTTCATGTGAGAAGCTTATAGATATACATATAGAGTTTTATAATTTGGACAGCAGCAGCAAGTCAATGAATATTTTTGCTCCAAATCTGAAGTATTTGACATGGATCGGAAGTATATTGAATTACCATAATCTTGGGAAATTAATGTGTTTAGAAAAAGCTGAGATTTTTCTGAAGCGTAAGAAAGATGACTATGACTTTGACAAAATATTTGAGGTTCTGTGCAGCATCCGCAAGGTTAAAGCTCTTATTCTAAGTGAAGATACCACACAGGTAAAGATAAGTATCCTTAGAAATTCAGGATGTTTTGCAATATGAACTTATGTATGTTTATCTTTCTGGAATCTTTACAATCTCTTGGTATGAGGCCATGTCATACTAATAATACGGATGCCTGATTTTTGCTTCTTAAACTTTAAAATTTCTTTCTAGTTGTATGGAACCAAATTATATTGGTGCTGGAGTTGTTGTTTAAAAGACGTAAACATTACAGGAACTATAAAGACATTGGTTAGACATATGAAGTTGGCAAACTAAGAAGCACGATCATGGTTTTAACTTTTGAGGAATTACTGACTATGTATATAGATACTGGAAATATTTTTCATAACGCTCAACTTTATTACATTTTTCTCATAGGGTGTTTGTGTACACATACTGGAAATATTTTTCGTTAGGCTTAACTTTATTACCTTTTTCTCATAGGGTATTTGTGTACACATACTTTTCCATATAAGAAATTGATTTAATATTTAAAATAATGCAGGCACTGTTCAGGGAAGGTTCCATGCAACTACAGTTCGATGATATTTCTTACTTGAGCTTGCATGCTGGGGGCGTGTTTGATGACCTTGTCCCAGCTATGGTCTCTCTTTTGAGAGGAATGCCTAACTTGAAAACTTTGCACATAAACTCTTACCCTCGATTCTTTGGCTCAAAAGTAAGTTAAATGTCTCTCTCCCCCTCTCTCTCTCTCTGCCATACACATACACACAACGCAACAGAAAATCTTATACGATCTGAAATTTCTAGAATTCTAAGGCAGAGATGTTAAAGCCATTATTCCTAGACAAGAGCAATGTATAACCCTCATCTTCTTAAGATGTATCCTGTGTTGGTAGTGCAGTGCTGGAAATATTCCTTTTATTTGGGAAGTAATTTTTTTTATTTTTGGTATGTTACTAAACAAATTTACTTGATTTGGTTGTTGCCTTTCCAGTCGTGCAAGTTTAATAGGAAATATTGGAAATCCCAAAACTTGGACTTTGTTCATCGTCTCGAGGAGGTAAAAATAGAGCTTTCCAACGGGTACAATGGAATGGAGTTTGCAAGGTATATTCTGGAGCATGCTCAGAATTTGAAGAAAATGGTTATACATTATCCACCTCAGCAATCATATGTTGAAGGGAGGTTAAGCAAAAGCGAGATGATTTCTACTACCTCCATTGACTATCAGAAAAGGATCTGCATAAACTACAAAGCTGGTCTGAATCTGGTACTTACTATAGGTATTTGATTCAGGGAAAGTCGGCCTAATATTGTAATGTTTGTTCGTGACTGTAATGCGGATTATTTTCCTCAGAACCTAATATTCTAAGTTTCGCTTCTGTTCTCAACAGTTGAGCTATATTGTGTTCGGTGTGCTGTTTCAAATTTGTTTACAGAAGTACTAGTAAGCAAGAAATCTAGTTGCCGATGAATCGGTTTTTTCCCGGTGTCGGAAATTTCTCTTATTTGGACAGAGGCCTAAAGGGGCTTTCGTGATTTGGGGTTCGAATAGATTGGAAATTTGAAAGGTTGAAGTGAAAATATGTTGGGGTGTTTGTGCTTTTGTTCATTTACATAAGCAAAAAAGGTAGAAAATTACAAGTTAGGAAACTCTTAAGGGGATTTCCATTTTTTTTTATAAAGATGAGGATTAGTTGTAGAGTCTAAATCATATCAAATTTTAACGATCCGAACCGTTTATTTTCAAGTTGCATCTCATAGATCATCCTTACAAAATTTGAGACATTTGATTGAGTTCAAAGAAATTAACGAGTATTTTGTTGTATAAGAAATAATGAAATTTTCTTGATGGTTAAATAGACAAATGGTTTCGGATTGAATTGAATTTTTGCAAGGATGGTCTATGAATCGAGACTTAAAAAATAGACGGTTCGAATTGTTAAAGTTCAATGTGGAGTGGGCCCCACACTGGGAATCCCTTTGCATAAAGGGCTGTTACAAGATATATCCCAAAAAAGTAGTGTATATTTTTGTGAAGTAGAATTGGTGAATGAGAAAGGAATGTAGAAAAATGAGAACGAAAACTATCTATTGAACAAGTTATTAGAGAAAAAAAGTGAATACGAATTGCAAACGAAATGGTTATGAAACGGATCTTTAGAATCTTGAAAGAGTAAACCAATTTGATGAAGAAACACAAAATATAAAGGGCTTAAGAATGGAGACAGTAACACAACACATTGTTGGAAATATATATTTATGGGTAACAAAAACACAAGACGTGTGGCTTTAACCCCGCCAGCTTCCTAATCTAATGTGTGGGTTCAACGCCGCCTGGCAATTCCTGATATGATCCGATAGCCCAACACGACACGAAATTAACAGGTGTTCGGATCGATACAATAACGAATTGGGTAACTCGATAAGCACTTGTTAAGATAACGGGTTGGTTCAGGTATACATGTGGGTAACACGATATACGATAAGCAAAATATTAATTTTATAATTTTATAACCTTAAAAAAAGTACTATAATAATTATATATATTAATTTAACAATTTTATACCTCTAAAAACTATAATAATTATATATATATATATATATCTATATTAAATTAAATTTAAAAAATTGGTGACCATTGGATCGGTTGAGATTTAATCTCAGCTATCCATTGTGCATTAGGTTGGAGGCTAATATATTTTTATATGGTATAATACTATTGTTTTATTTCTTTTCATAATTACTTTGGTAAACTTCACATAATTTGAATGGTTTTCAATGTTTGGTTTTTCTATATTTAGTTTATGCGGAAGAGAGTTCTGACGTGGAAAACCTTACTGAAATCATCATCAACATAACTCTTGAAGGCAATAGATCAAGCTAAAGTTCCAATACAATTTCCTCATGATGATCGATGAAAATTGAGGATTTTGTAAAAGAAATAACAAGCAAGCTTTGAGTTCCATTGGCAAGGTTTAAATTTTTGAGAAAGGCTTCACAACCTTGAAAACAAAAACTTTTTCATTTTGCAAATATTTTGTAATAGACTAGTAGTGTATGGATGCTTTTTTATTAGGCTCTTATTTTCGAGTGTAGATATAGTACTTAAACGACAAATGTGTTTTAATGTTTTGAAGTAATATTTATGTGGCAATGTGTGGTATGTGCAAATTTAAGAAAATAAATATATTTTTCTTAACGGGTCATAACGGGTAAAGTGACCTAACCTGTTAAGAACCCGTTAAGATAACGGGTGTGACACAAAACGACTCGTTAAGATAACAGGTGTTACACGAAAACAACACGAACACCATAGACACGACCCATTTGCTAGGCCTACATCTAACCACTAATGTTTTCATCTTATTAAAAAAAAACATAAGACGTGTTGTACCATTACACTCTTATGTGTGAAACAATACCGGACTGTCTAAGACTGGATTAGTTTCAGGAACTAAATTGGATTGGTTTAGACTAAACTAAGCTGGACTGACTTAGTGAAACGTTTGGTGCAGTGTCGGACTAAGAAGTAGAACTATAATATTATATTATTTAATCTATATTTATTAATATTTTATTTTTAATTTAATATATCAATTAATATTTTGTATTACTTTATCTTTTTCCCTATTTTTCTAGAACCATCTTCCTCTCCAATCTCTTCATTCATCTTTTTCTCCGCCACTCCCTCCCTATTCCCTTTTTTCTCCCATTTTTGTCCCTCCTTTTCTTTGTACCAGTCTTCTTCCCCTCAATATTTTCTCCGGTTTTACTTCTGTACCAGTGTCCCCTCTCCCCTCCCTCCCTTTGTATTTATTTTTCTATTATTTTTCATATTTAATACCTGTATTTTCTGGACAAATCATAGTTGTGCAAGAAAAATCACTCAAATTCTCTTCACCCGTTGCTAAAGTTTTCAATCTTGCACCAATCCTTTGCACGAAATTTCCCTAACTATGTTTTCAACCCAACCCTTTGCACCCAAAACTTTTTAATTTCAAAATCCCAGGTCACAATCTCTGAGCAAATATGGGTCACCATGAGCAACAAGGCTGTTGTTGTCCAGCCACCATGGCTGATGTCGGTGGTGGAAGAATTTGGGTCATCATCTTTGATCAATGATGCCAAGTAGCCTAGCCACCATGAACTTCTAAAGCTTCAAGCAGAGAGAGAGAGAGGAAATGCATAAAGAAAGAGAGAAGTGGGGACTAGGTAGGGGCGAAGCGAAGAGGAGAGGGTCTTAACAATCCGCTCCTTAGTCAGAGCGAATCCTACCTAGTCTCATTAAACTTAGTCCCTCTTGCAAACAAACACTGGACTACACTAGCTTTTAGTCTAGTCTAGTCCAGTAAGGCCTAGTGAAGGTAAACAAACACGACCCTAAAGTATTATTAAAAATGAAAATCCTCATGTTGGGGCTACTGTAATATGAAATGATAATATTAGTATGTCCTCCATTGGGATGAGCTCATTTCCTCCTTGCGAATAACGTATCTTGATCGTACAAATTTTATAATTGGAAATGTTCCATTTCTTAATTTTCATTTGAAGATCACCCAAAAAATAACATTTCAATTGAAAATCATTTAGTCATGATGAACCGTTCATTTATTCATAATGAACATTTATTTGATATGTTTGGATGATTAAACGCTCTCGAATTCGAATGATTTCTTGTAGTAGTGATCTTCAAATGAAGATTAATAGATTGAATAGTTCCGATATTTAATCATTTGGTCAAGATATAGCATTTGCAAATACGGGATGTAAGTATTATCCAATATGAGATTATATACATTTGGATTTGGTTAAATAAGAAGCGAAAAAATAGAGAGCAAATATCAAACATCTAAAGAACTAAAAAAAAAACTAAAATAAGACTTTTGAGTTTTGAAAGGGAAGTGTTATTGGCACTCTAAAAATCCCATTTTACAATCCTCACAAGTGTATTTTTCTTTCCTAATATACAAAGTTTGGAATGTAGAATGAGATTTTTGAAGTGTTAATAATAATTCCCTTATGAAAAACTTAAAAACTAAAAATCAGACCTTTTGAAAAACTAAAATCTGACTTTTGCAATTGATGAAAAATCCCTTTACCTTTTATTACAACGGTTAAGGATTGCCAGACTAGGAGAGAAGTGAACATGCAACTGGGAGGTTATCTGGATTGCACGAATCCAAGTAAAGTAGCAATCCAATTCAACTAATGAGTTGCTTGCCACCTTCCCTATTCGATGAGAAACCTATAAATTGCAACCCCCCTCACATTTAGAAGTTTAGAAACTTGCCCTTCTCTCTCCGATCAAAACGCCCTCTAGTTTGTCAAAACTAGTGCTTTTTCCTGAACTTTGTCACAAATGTGGAGCAAAAAATAATTTTAAAAATCTTAAAGCTGATATATGGATTATTTCTCAAGAAAGACAAAATTGTCCCTATCAAATGAGCAGGGAGCAGTCTCATTAACGACGCGCAGGTGAGGTAGAGGAGGCAGAAATCAATGATTGCTCAAGGCACCCTTGGCCGTAGGAAATGTCAAAGGTATTTATGATAGAATAATTCATTATTCTTATCATAAATATATTCCTTATAAGAGAAAATCTCTTTTAAGTAAGTAATTATAATCACATTTATTTTGAATATTTACCTAATTACTCCAAGATATTTATTTACACAAATATTTTGGAATATTCCCACTTAAACACAAGCCTAGGGTTGGCCACCCCTAAACCCTAGAGGGCCAATCCATACTCCTCTTATCTCCTATAAATACCCACTTTATCTCAAAAATTCAGAGAAGCTTTAGCTACCCCTAAAGAGGCCTTTTGCTTTCCACGAATACTTAAATACATTCATTTCAGAATTCTAACTTTGGCATTGGAGATTCTTCGGCCAAAGCCCCCCTTCATTGTGAGCGCCTGAGGTTTTTGGCTTTAATCTTAGTTGTTATTATTTTGCAGGTGCAAATTTGTCAATCAAAGGAAGACGGAAATTTGCATTCACAAATTGGTGATTTCATTAAGAGCTCTGATCCGAAGACTCTCGCTTTCATCTTCCTTTATTCGTAGATCCATGACTACAATGGCAGAAAATTCAGAAACTACAACCAATAAGACCTCATACGTTGAAGGACATGGACCAACCAATGGAGACAACGTGGCTCCACGCCGTCACCCTCGAGGCTTACCACGGTAAAGACTGCACCTTTTGCCACCACGAGGTACCATGGCCATGATAGCAGTGGCAACCACCATTGTAATGACCTATAGGGCAGCCTTTGGCTTCTACCACTTTCACTTGGACACGAACTGCTTAGACCGAGGCAGTCCAAGCCATGCCAACCTAGGTGGCCTAGCACCCATGCGCTCGACCTGCTCTTGCAGCCCTCCAGACAGTCCAGCTTGGCAGTTCAACCAACCCAGATCCAGATCCCAAGATCGATGGTTGAACTAAGGGTATTTTCACCCTACCTTACTGCAGATATG